AAGTTTCACTTACACATTCAAATCTGTTACATGATGGAAGATTTCACAACAAAATGTGTGTCTACCTTCAGACATTATGCATGCGTCTAGACGTCGGCGCATTGAGCCACGTATTCGCTCAAATATTCCTGGAGTCTCTCTGATTACCCTGCACGCATCGATGATGCGATTTCTTAAGTCCTCTAAATAAATAAATTTTTAAATGGTAAACAAATGATGAGACAAAAAGTTACATTGGAAATAAATTTTAGGGGTTGTAAGGGGTGGAAACCCTTACAACCATGGAGTAAACCAAATAAATTACTGGCTAAGTGTCTTTTTGGTAGTACAAAACGTCAGGTTAATTTCAATATTGTAACTTTTTCAGTGCTTGTGAAAAAATTTGTTATACAAATTCTATGTACCCCCTTTAAGGGACTGTTCTTAACGAGGGATGCTTCAATGAAATTTCTTTATATGAAAGATCCTATCTTTTTTCGATTAAGAATCACCTCCTCAAATGTTTTACACTTATTTAGTTACACCCTGTATAAGGCACCTCTCCATAGATTAAAGATACTAACTGCATCCAACACCAGAAAATGAGGTGCTTTTCTGATCTTCTCAGGTAACCTGTATCTATCAAGACCAGAATGGGCAGTTCTGGAATGGTACCTCTGGACCAGCCATATGGCAGCCAGTTTATGGTTTTGGAAGAATCATCGTTTGAGCATACGCGTTTGCTCACCTGCTCCGGGAAAGTTTGTTTCACCAGCTGATGAACATTCTGTTTTTACTTATTGAACTTATTGTGAAGCAACAGAATCAAAAGTTGGAGAACTGAAAAGCTCCTGCTCTCGACCTGATGTTACAGGGAAGGCGGTTGGAGTTATCTAAGTTGAATTAAATCTCCTATGAAGACACAGGGTGCGGTTTATTCATTGCCTCATGGTCCATGGAGGGTCCAATAAATATCTAGGTAGAAGTAAATCATGGTAGAGTCCTACATTACCGTGACAATTCTTTCTAACGACCTTGCTGCAAACCGTTAGGTGAAAATACTGCTTTGAAACGAGAATTGGGAAGCTATGTTGAAAAACGACGCATTCAGCAATACTAGAGGAGCATTCAACCGGAGTAATATGTAGATACATAGTGCGTCAAGCGGGAAAACGAGTAACGGTGCACTGAACAGAAAAACCGAGAGAAGATAGAGGGAGGGAGGGAAGAGAGACCCTAAAGACCTATGAATAGCTTCGAAGTATCGATAGTAGGTCAATTATTACATTATTACACGAAGACTATTCAGTTTTTCTGAAATCGTTTTTCATTTTAAGTGTATGTTACTGTCATTTTACCCAGTAATCAATTAATTTTCAATAATTTATTGTTTTAACAAATGACATTTTTATATTTTGAAATTTCATACTCGGAGTAATTTCTCCTCGTTGTTTTCGCTTCTATCATATAATATTCCTCAGATTTCAAATCTGTTAACACTTTTCTGAGTCAATGAAAGTTTAACTAGAATCACCTTATTCACCTAGAATCAGCTTATTCTTCACAACTCCTGAGAAATATACTCGTATACTGAAAAAATTCTTCTGGATAACTTTTTAATAATATAAATATTCCAAAAACTGTCGAAGAATAGTCTGAACAAAATTACAACAGAATTGAAAACATATTAAGAAATCTGCAAATATACTTGGTGGATTTTTGCAATAAGGAAGTTATTATGTACTTCTGGTGAAGTACCAAAGGTGAAGAATTTTCATCGAGAAATAATCTTCAGCGATGAGGCCCATTTCTGGATAAATGGATACGTGAACAAACAAAATTGTCGAATACTAATCTACATCAGATCCAAAAGCGTTCGATGCATCCCGAAGAAGTCACTTGTTTGGTGTGGATTTTGGGCTGGTGGCGTCATCAGTCCATATTTCTTTGAGAACGACGTTGGCCAAGCCATAACTGTCAGCGGCGAGAACTATACGTCGATAATTATCAACTTCTGCATAATGATCTGGAGACCATTGACATATGGTTACAACAAGACAGCGCTACGTTCCACACAGCTCATGCAACATTAGATATTTTGCACGAGTAATTTGAGGGCATTGTAATCACACGTGGAGGTTATGTGAACTGGACACCCAGATCGTGCGATTTGACCCCGTTAGACTTTTTCTTGTGCCAACATAGCCAATGCTATCGGTCGAATTCAGCCTGATTCATGCACCAGAGTCATGGAAAATTGGATGTTTCGGATGCGTTCTACCCAGATAAGCCGTGGTGGACATTTGAATGATATTCCACACATTATGACATCAATAGGTCTTTCTAACGAATAAAAAATTTCGATTATATCTCACACAAACTTTGTTTTATTCGAATTTGAAGATAGAGTTTGCTTAATGAAAGACTCCATTAAAGGACCAACTCACTTCGACATCTTTTCGCATACGGTTTTTGCGACGAAGTTTCCAATATCAAATTCGTGCAATTCATTACTAGAATATAGGGTTTCTCCTGACTTGAAATCAAAATACTTTCTGGAATTATTTGAAATACAATGACAAATCATTAAATTTGCGCTTGTTATTCAATTTAAATGTTATCGTGACCGTACGTGATGTTATTCGAAAAGGTGCTGATGAGGTAATAAGAAGGGTGTCTTATTTCGAAACTTCGAAGTACACCGTTGATGATCATAGAACGTGAAATTTTATATCGTAACTTCTTCATATAAATTTTGTAGCTTTTCTATGAATGATATCTGATATATGTTTAGGAGTACAAACTGAACAGGAATTTTCGTACAATTCAACGTTCATATGAAAGTAGTTATTTCGAAAATACTTTTTCTTTCGTGTAATTCATTATTTTCGAAAAGTGATTGCTTTGGGAGGACTACTCATTTCAGTTTTCATCTGAAAGAAACTTCCATGCATAATCTACAGATATCTGTAACGAGTTTTTCACATTTTTTGTATGAAGCTGAAGAATTAGGAACCCTGAAAACTTTTTTGCCATAATTTAAAATTCCATTGGATGACATTTCGGGAAGAAATTCAACACAATTACGTGAAGTCAATTTGGGATCTTCCGATAGTTAGTTACAATTTTCTCAAACAAAGTGGACTACATTTTGACAATTAGATTTTTTTCAGTTTTTCCACACTCTCATTTCCGTTCGACAGACCAGGTTTTTGACCTCAGCACACTCAACCTGAGGAAGGCAAAAAACAGTTTTTTGATGAACCAAGGTCTATAATTGTTAAAAAAATGGCGCATCGAATTATTATCGTTGATTCAAAAATCTAAAATTGTAATCCATTTGAAATAAAAAAGCATTTGCCAACTTTCGGTATAATTACAATAGATGAAAGATTGGAGATACTTTCAATGAATATACTCATTACCAATTACTTATTGCCCAAAATCTCTGATTTTGTTATGATATACTTTTCGAGGCACGTCCAACTCCCTCGTCAAGAATCACCATGAGTTAGGCTGAGGGCACGAAAATGTCGACGACCGAGCGATGGCGACGCCACGGCGAAACGGTGGCGATGCATAGAACAACATCTACAGTAAAGGTGACGCGCACGAAACGAGCGGTGGCGGGGCGGAGCGATCGAGCGATGCTAGGTGGGAGGAGAGCGACGGCGGCGCGGAAGTGACAAAAACAAACTAGTACTACAAAACACTACTTCAATCGCTCGCGATTGAAGTAGTGTTCTGTAGAAAAATATTATAATACCAATACAGAATGGAAATCGATAATGAAGAATGCATCTCGTGTATTTTATCAAAACCTGCTCTATGGGACATCAATAACGCCATTGCCTTTGATGCCCTAGCTCGTAGGCCTTACATCAGGCATCTTCCCTCTATCTAGCGTCACCTCTGCCAATGGAACCCCCACTCCTCCGAACTCATCCTCCCCGTACCACCGGTAGAAGACCCTTTTATTTCCTTTATTATACTCACTCCATAGTACATAAATTAAAACTTTAAACAATTCTGGCTCCTTCAGAAATAACCAGTCATAATAACAAAAGAATGAAACAAAAATTTACATGTCTATTTGACCCAACCCATGTATCCCGGTTGTACAAAGTCATTATTGCACATACTTGGATGTATTCACAACCAAACAGTACCGCTTCCGGCCATTACTAGGGAGACCATAACTACTTCTCAAACTACGCTTGTTTGTATGCAGCTCTACGCCTATCCTTCCCTTTCTTCCCTCACCACATTGTCCGCCCAGTTATTCACAAAACGTATCCATTCATCCTTTTTCCCATCAACATCTCTCAACATAATTTCACCATTCATCCTTTCCGTCCTCTCCTTCCACTTTCACCAACCAATCCTCTCCCCATTCATGCATCTATCAGTCACGTACTCTACCGTTTCAGGCTCCCCATATTCACAGGGGCAGGAAACCTCCGAACTCAGGTTGAATTTTGCCAGGTATCCCGGAAAGTTCCCATGCCCTGTGAGCAGTTGGACAGCCTTCCGCGATAGATCCAATGATTCATATCCGACTGTTCTACAGAACCTGCCGCCCAGTCGTGCCTATCTCCCATTGCCTTTGCCATTATCTCCTGATATTCTCATTTATTTTATTTTCTCTCATCTGTCTTGTTATGTGCCTTTCTTACTTCCCATGTAACCTCTGTTTTATTTATGCCCTTGGTGGCTTTCCTATGAGCCTTCGTGGCTTTTTCATGAGCCTTCGTATTCCCTACATTGTTACGATCATGCCCCCTCTTCCACGTTATCAGGTTACGTGCTCCCCTAACATTCATTTCCTCATTCATACGCTGAATCATTGCTACCCTTTTGCTCCTCACTCTTCCTGCTTTCACTCTTTCTACAGCCATAGCAGAGTCACTAATTACTTTCACGCTCTCATCCATGCTCCACATGCTGATCACTCGCTCGATCACAATCAACTCTGCCTCGTTCAAGCTTCTTTGTCCGGTAATCCTTTTATTCCCTGTGGTTCATTCATCCTCTCCTCTTTTATATGGCCCGCCTATCCTCATTCTTTCATCCTCAGTCCTCGCTTCTCGTACTTCAATCACTTCTCCGTCCTCCCCCTCCCTCTCCTCCAGCAACTCCCCTTGCAACCAGGGGAATATCCTATCTACCCCTTTCAGCCTGTCTTCAGTCTTCCTTGTCCAGTTCACTCTCCATTCTTGATATCTGACCCATCCTTCTATCTGCAATAGCGCCATTCTGATGATGACACTGGGTGCGAGCCGTTGGCATCGTCCTGTAAGCCCCACACCAGGCCAACAGGAAGGGTAAAAATGTTTACCTCAGCTCGTAATCAAGGGTAGAAAATTCTCCAAAATTACTTATTCTTTCATTTATTGAATGAACACTTCCTCTAGGTAATAATAACTACATTCTCATTATTAGACTTAGCGCCAATAGCTCTTTCGACGTAAACTGATGTTACGATGACGTGACATGATGCTTACAACTCTACTCCAGCATGACTGATTGACCGAAGTTTCGTGCCCATGCAAGATACTTCTCCTCATCGCCCCGCGGTCGCCATTGCTCGGCTGTCGCTATTTTCGTGACCTCCCCATTACTCTTTTGTTTTCTGAAGATAGAACAATATCGAAAATACAAATCTAACTCCAATACCCAACAAACTTCAAGTAACGTACTCTAGAATATATCAGCTCGACTCCAAAGAATCCGAACTTCCTTACTCCATCGTATACCGAACAGACGACAGAAGCCTTGAACTACCGAAAAAAATGGAACCCTCCGACTCGACGGATTTCAAAAAGTTCCTCAAACTATCGCCGAAGTGGATCACCGTGCCAGTCGATGCGTTTTAATCACATCCCAGCCCCTTTATCCGGGCAAACTTTCCCGCGATCATCCAACAGGTACGGAAAACGGCATGAGCGATCGGCGTCGGCCGCAAAAGAAGGAGAAGAAGAAGAAGAAAATGAGAAGAGTTGGAACCGAGCAAACGCGTGCATCATTCATCGGACATAAATAAATCTCGCAGTCATTCCCATATATATCTGGCAGGCGTCATCGGTGATTGAAATAATAACGACCTCGCATGATGTATCTTGTGCTTCCATGTTGCACAACATAGGGAGCGAACGAACGCGACCTCTGTTCGATAAAACAGGGCAGGGACGGATTCAGGACGGATTGTAAAATATGGTTGATTCCGCTATGAAAATATAATAATAAAAATGCAAATTGAAACAGATAGGAAGCCTTGTGAAGTGGCGAACAATGTTGATAAAAAATATTATGAACATGAAAATTTTTAGAAAGGAAAAAATTATGGTCCGCTCGACATGAAGGGGATGAAATTGGGTGAACTGTTAAGGGTAGAAAGTTCATTTTCAGCGGTTCATAATCTCAAACTACAGGCCCGGTTGCCACCGCTCGAGGCTTGTTTGACTGGTGTGACGACGAGATGTACTGCGGGCGATCTCACATTTTCAATTGTTCTTGCTCAGTTGTTAATTGACATATAAACCGGAAAATTTTGTGAGATACTTGGGAGATGATTTACTTTTATAATATATAATTTTCAATAAAAAACTAAATTAGCCTGAATGAACCCATTATATTATGTAAAAAAAAGTAATTTCGAAGATACCTCACCTCACAAACACACGTATCGAATGGATAACATCCATGTCTTTGAACTCAGTTGGAAGGTTAAAATTATTTTATGAACGGATGTTTTTCATAAAATTAGCTTCTAAACTCGCCCCTACATTTTTATATCGCAATAAGGAAACATTCTGTAAAGCTTACCCAATTTATGAATTTTTTACTCAGCTCCTTATCTCCCTATCCCTTCAAAAAGAAACTGGGTATTTTGGATGAATCGAACTTCATTGTTTTGAGCGTTACTACTTTCGTGTATCCACATTGCGTATAGTATAAACATTGTTTATACTATACATTGTCACAACCGGGTCTGTTGAATGGATAAGTTACTGCGAGAACGGCGCTTCGAAAAACATAATAATAGTAACTCCCTATGAAAGCAGGCGGGTTGGCTGTCCTTGTTGTTGGCTGTCCCTAACTGAATGGCATCCCAACGATGGCTTAATCCTAAAGGTGCGTATTCACCAAAAAAGCGAGCACGAGCGAACAAGAGTGAACGAGCATTCTGCATCAATAATCGTCTGGTGAGTACGGGCTAGCGAGCGAGCGAACGTATGCTTGTTCGCGTTCAGGAAAGATCGAGAAGAAGGCGGTACATCAAAAGGTGCTCGCACAAAGTAAATGGATCAACTACGATTACGAACTTGAAGATATTTGCTCTGGTATGGACGAGACATCAATATGTCGAGCAAACACGAGCGAACACGAGCAAACATACACGAATGCTCGCTCATGCTCGCTCGTGCTCGCTTTTTTGATGAATACGCACCTCAAAGTGTGTGTATCCGTGCCGAGAGGATGAATGACACTGAGCCTATTGGCTGTCTCTACAGAACCTTCCAGATACCGGGCGCCCTCTCGTCGTAGCTTCGCCTCGTCACGGTAATGCGGGGCTCTGCCGTGATAGACCTTCTTTCCTTAGCTACTCGTGGGTCTTTTATGGACAGAGTAAACTTAAAAATGTTTTCTGACGCTGAGTCTACAGAGGAGATGAATGTGGAGCTTACGACTCCAACTGACCCCCCTGCAAATTCAGATCAGGAGCGAGAGCTTCTAACTCTCCAACTCCTGATTCAATAATTGAACCTAAAAAAAATGGTTTGATGGTGCAGCCAGGAATTGACTGAGTCGTCTCAAGAGCGGGGTACCTTATGAAACCGCCTCAGGTGGAGGAACAAACCCCCCATGAGCAGGTTAGCAATCGTTTGCGCTCAAGTGATGATTCACCAAAACCCGTCAGCTACACCGTCAGGTGTAGCTGACGTGCAAAAACCCTCATTTGGGAAGGTTGTCGCGGGTATCAAGGTGGGAATCTTGCATTTCGATAATTCGACTAACTCATTAACGATGAAACAGCAGAGCATATACTTTGTGCCTGCCCCGCTGGCAAGCGAATCAGGTTTTTAGAGTTCGGCAGAGCCGTACTCTTACCATCTGACCTGAAAGACCACTCACCATACAAACTAATCGGCTTCGTTAAGAAGCTGGGTTTATTTGGTCGAGTGTGAATAGGTGTGAGTGACAATAAACCCTTGCTGGTTGCGATGGAGAGTCGAATAGACCCACTTACTTTGGACCTAACCTAACCTAACCCTATAAAAGCATCTCTTCGAATCACCCAGTAGAACGCATTACCTCACAAAAGACCGAACATTTTCCTGAAACCCTTCCAAATGACTGCAGAGGTGCTAAAGTGCAAGCATCGGTAATTCCATCAGAAATTAGCGAAGGGTCGGAATTTACCTTTCTCGCATGTATGCATTAATAAAGTTAGGTTAAAGGTACACGAAATTCTGGCTGAAAGCCCGTCTGCCGACAAGTCACGCTCCAGGGGACTGGATATTCGAGCTGATTACTTTTCTACTGATTGAGAGTGGAAATCTACGGATGCCTCAGTTTACTTTCTTCAAGAGTCTTTTAATGATTGACAATGGTGAACTTATCATATACCTATATAGTATGTATTTATGAAATATAAATTTTTCTGTTTTTTGTAATAATCTTGTTTTTTTGACACAAAAAAGTTATATACAATAACCTAACACAGTATTTATCAATTCTAAGTTCGCCAGGTCAGTTAGAACCAAGTATTATAAGTAAATAGCCTATCAATATTCATCAATTTTGTGGAGATCTTTATTTTCCAGATATCCAAAAGAAGCTTTTTCTTGTATTCCTTTCATCAAAAATCACTCTATCCAATCAACAGTCGTTTCTGTAGAATAAAAAAAGCCGTTCACAATGATTCGTCTGTCAAATGTTGAAAATTTCCGAGTTTTACTACGTATTCCACCCCGATCGAGAAACCCTCGACCCGAAATTCCTCTCAGCATTAGTCACACAACGTTTAATTTCGAGCTGCCGGTTATAGAATCACGGATTTCCCCACCCGCTCCCCTTTCCAGTGGGAGCCCAAGAACGGTAAGTGCATTTGCTCGTTGTCTTTGCACGAAAGCATGAAATCATTCTTCGAACCGTAAAATTTTTAAAATGATTATAGTACACGCGGGCTGGATTGTGTACAGAAATCTCCGGATAAAAGTGGCCCGAAGAACTTGTTGACGATGCTAATGGATATTTGTTTGTAATGAGAAGAGCTCAAATTGCACCCTGTAGGGTGGAAAGTAATGAAAGAGGTTCTCTGAACCTCTGAAGATGATCACTTGGTAATCGTAACACGTGTCGAGGTGTTGAAAATAACGGTTTGCTGTTGGGATAGAACTCCAGTAATATTCATTACTACACCAAAGGTTCCAAACGGTGCATTACAAGTTCCCTATAATATAACAATTTATGTTATATGTTGTGTTTTGAAATATGTTTTTCCGTTAACTAGCTATCGCACCCCTACGAACGACAACCCTCAGAACTCGAAACTTGTGCGAGCCAAGGAGTAACGGGGTCTTACCTTTCAACGTGTGATTCCTAACACGGGTTGGACGATAACAAGCGAAAATTGAGCGTTCAGCGAAAATTGAGGTTTGAACCATCGACTCACGCATTGGCCGATTGACTGAGTGAAAAAAGCACCCACGTCGAACCGCCCGGCTACCGACCGACTATATGAAACATATGACCTTATACCTACTCAATGACCAATAATTTCACCATAGTTCAACATTATGAACACTAAAAAAGATTGTTGTCCTTTATTTTATATCATTTTATTTATTTTTAGTACAATATTTTCTATGAAAGCATAGAACATACCTAAGCAATGAATGCTTGTGTCCTAGTATTCCAGTCTTTCATTTGGGTATCGTAATCTACTTTTTATACAGTGCGAGTTTTGAAAAGTAATAATGATAATATTGAGTGGATGAATTAGAAATTCATCAAAAGAACTATTTTATATTAGTTGGGTTGGTTAGGATAATGGGAAGAGGAAAATAAAAATGAATAAGTAATAAGTAATAGAGGAGTGTGTCGGACCTCGGTTGGATGGAGCTACTAGTATCCGAGCTTAGGACCCCGACCGGCCACTTCCGGGACCATATTCTGATTGTGTAATACAATAAATGTATAAATAAATAAATGAATGAATATATGGTGAATATAACAGTTAACCCACAAAAGGATATATCCTTGTGCGTGGGTTAAAGAATTTTAAGA